CCTAACAACTTTTCACACCTGTGGCAACGGAGGTACTGAGAAGGTAAGGAACTCGCCTAACATCAGAGTGTGGGTGAAGCAGCGCAACGTGCTGATTCAGGCAGGTGAGGCCTTAAGTGCATGCTCGGCTTTATTCTTGTCTGTACGTGTGGCACTTTGCATCCTATGTCTTAGACTGGAGAAATGCAACGAACACTGGAGTGATCGTTATGTGCAAAGGGCTATGCTGGGTTCCGGCTTCACTACGGACACGCTCACAGTGTAGCAGAGAGACGACATTGTAAACAACCAATCACACAAGATACTTATTACAGCAGAGGGAAATTCTATGAAGGAGAGGACAGAATGCCTGCTGAGAAGGTAAGAAGAATCTCACCTAACCCAAAGAAAAGGAAGAACATGAAGAGCCATTAGGAGCGGGCCAGGCTGGATGGGGGCAGGAAAGTGAGCAGGCAGATGTGATGGAAGGAGGAAGACCTGAGGTGAGCTGTGTGTATACTTGCTCCGCACCCTTATTCAGTGAGGCACCATTTTCTCTTTTATCTTTTACATTCTCTAGGTCTGGGGTCAGCAAACTATGGCTGGCCACCTGTTTTGATAATAAAATGTTATTGGAACCCAGCTGCAGTTTTCTGTTTCCTTACTGTCTATGGCTGCTTTTGCAATATGGCAGAGGGGTTTCAGCAGAGACCATTTGGCCCACAAAGCTGAAAATATTAAGTAGATAGTCTTGTGCAAAAAGTTTGCCAATCTCTGCCCTGTAGCAACATCCACAGACTTCATACACAGGAGACATTCAGTAATTTTTTTAAAAATTATATTTGTTTTTACTCTACTTCTATATAGTGTTTAAGGGAATTATAATAAATACATAGTTGAAAAGCAAGCAGCCACAAAGGACCACATATTGTATGATTCCCTGTATATGTCCAGAATAGGTAAATCTGTGCTGGCCTGGGGCCAGTGGAAGGAGAGAGGGTGGAGGGGAAAAAGATGATTAAGGCTTTTATTTGGGGGTGATGATAATGTTTTAAAATTGATTGTGGTGATGGGTACACAGGTCTGTAAATATGCTAAAAATTACTAAATTGTATACTTGTGATAGATGAGTTGCATGGTATGTGAATTATACCTAAATAAAGCTGTTATTGAAAAAAAAGTCCCAAATAACTTAAATGTACTTTTGTTTTGGTGATGGGGATTTAGGTTTGGTAGAGGGAAGAGGAATATCCTTATGTTAGAGAGTACAGTTAATTTAAAAAACAAAACAAAACAAAACATCTTTACAATAGAGCACACAACTTGAGTGTGACCTTCCTAGATACCCAAATGAGAAATGTTCAATAAAACACTGTCTGTTATAAAAAGCACTGAATGGGGCTCCTGGGTGGCTCAGTTGGTTAAGCATCTGCCTTTGGCTCAGGTCATGATCCTGGAGTCCTGGGATCCAGTGCCACATTGGGTTTTCTGCTGGGCTTCCCCCTCTCCCTTTGCCTGCAGCTCCCTCTGCTTGTGCTCTCTCTCTGTGTCAAATAAATAAAATCTTAAAAAAAAAAAAAAAACCACTGAACAACTAATGCTAAATGACAGAGTTCCTGTTATCCTGAGCTCTAGAAAAACTACTATGTGGGGTTTTTTATAGGGTTCACAGACAAAATGAGAGCCAGAATCCTAGCAGACAGTTTTATAGAAATTAAAGTACACCAATGACTGTTTCTTATGTTGACTCTTAAGTCAAGGGCTCAGACATGCTTTGGCCAATCGTCTTGGCCAGTATTGACCAACAGAACTTTCTGGGATGAAGAAAATGTTCTGTATCCGCAGTGCTCAAAAAAGTAGCTATTATCCTCATATGGTTATTAAGCCTGGAAATGTGACTAGCGAAACTGGCTGTAATTTAATTAAAATTAACTGTAATTTAATTGCATCCCATTTCAGTTAATTTAAATAGCCACAGGTAGCTAATGACTATTAAATCAAACTGAGCAGGTCTAGAAAGTATGGGCAGGATACTACAGCATTATCCACTGAGACCTAAAAATAACTAAGCAAATTTTGTTGCCCTAAAAAGCTGACAATTCTTAGTGCCAGTTTAAAAATTCAAAGCAAAACACATTTTGTACTCAGAATGATCTAAGCTAATCCACTAGTGATAGGAAGTTGGCTCAAAGTTATGCATTCTATTTGTATGCAATAGGTTATCAGTAAATCTTCTTTCTTTTCTCTTTCCTGTTTCTGTTAGCTGGGAAACTGTTCACCTGAAAATATGATCTTCAGAAATAACCTCTCCATTCCCACAAGAGCACCAAAACAACACAGAAATATCAAAAAGCTCAACTAAGTTGTGTTCTGCCTTAATAAATCAGTGCGGAAAAAAACATGGAAGAGGTTAGAGTGGTGAATGGGAGTGACCCATAGAAACTTGATATTTGAGCTGGCAGCTCAGAGTTGAAGATGGGTGTGGGGGACTGTCATCTAGTGTGCGTACTCTCAAAGTTCTGATAAACAAGGAAATGGAAAATAAATGTGATGGCCGAGTGTCATTTAGGAGGGGCTTCAAAGAGACTATGAATCCATTGTGGCATTAAGCTCTAGAACAAATGAATGGTCAACATGTCATCTAGTATACTTTGGAATGAGGCAATGAAAAATAGACAACACATCTATAAAAATCTACATCTGTGTATGATGAGACTCTACTAAAGTAGAAACATGAGTGTTTTAGTGACTGTCGTGCAAAGTATGCATATCCAAAAATATTTAATTGATTCAAACTTCATGAATGTGTCTTTGGAAAATTAAACAACATCTAGAAAATCCTGACTTGAACAACAGAAAAGTTATAAATAAACATGACTTCAAGGAGAAAGCACCTAACTCACTTGATGTAATGTTGGCTAATGGCTGGGCATACACTTAAACTAGCTTATGAATAAACTATATTAAATTCAATTGAAAACATCTTTGATACAGTGTATCCCCCATATTCCATACCACTAAGCCACTAAAGATTAGGAAAGAACATTAACTAGTTTAGTTGGATTACATGGCAATGCAAGCCAACCCATGAGTCATAATCTAACCAAAAAAAATCCAAGGATGTTTACCAATTGGGCGGCTTCCCTAAGAAGGGTATTTATAGCACAAAGAGCTTCAATTTATCCTTCTGAAATAAGATTTGGTTATCACAGACTGAGAAGTGAGGCTAAACATAGCAATGGGGTTCTAAAACCTGCATATGCTGAAATACTTAGAGTAGTTGAGCTGAACCATACGTTACCATCGCTTTGTAGTACCTTTACCCGGGCATTTAGCTTAACACTTTACTTGATTTCTTTGCATGTCTAGATGCCCACCATGAACTCCTCAAGGAAAGGGGCCTCTTTGTAGCCACAGAATATCTCAGAGCTGCTGTGAGCACTTTACAAAGGACTGGGAAATTAGATTGTTGAAATAATTACAGAACTTAATTTTCTTTTAACTGCATTCTTTAGAACAGGGATGAGGAAGTCATAAACTTGGCAGACAGGAGAATGTAGTGCTCCAGAGCATGGGTTTTAGAGTCACAGAGTGCAGGCTCTGCCACTCAGCATGTGTGTAACCATGGGCAAGCCTGAGCCTCAGCCTCTGCATCTGGAAAATGGGTATAATAATAATGCCCACCGCAAAGGGTGTTGTGAACAACACAGGTGAAGATGCATATGAAGCTTGTAGTATGGTCACTGGCACAAACCAAGGGTTCAATAAATGTCAGCTATCACAGTGCCTTTGCTAAACATTTTAAAAATTGGTAAACATTTATTCCATTTTTTGTTTCATTATTGCTAAATAAATTATAATCTCATCTTCTTCCTAAATCAGCTCCTCTTTGAAACTCCCTTAGAGAAAACAGAATATGCTAGATATTTTCAAAATCAACACAGGGAACTGCCATGAGCATATGCAATTTTTGTGGGCACACGGTATTCAAAGGGCACCATTTCACGTCCACGTTTGCGCAGCACAGCTAAGGAAAAGAACCCAGATTTTAAAAAGTATATTGTCAGTTAGCTCCAAATGGCTGTGAATCAGAAGCATTTGTAACATTCTAACTCTCCTAACTGCCATACAAAAGAATGTCCATTCAGTTATTCAAGTATTCATTCATTCACTCACTCAAATATTTATTGAGCTCCAAATTGCATTCAGGCAATGTTCTTGGTGCTCATGATATATGGTGGATAGAACACACAAAGACGCCTGCCCTTGTGGAGCCTACATTCCAACATGAAGCCAAGGTCACCTAAAATAAAGCATTTACTTCGTCATTCCCTTTATATAAAATAACATAGTTTCTCATTCATTATATCAGACTTTTATATTGCTAATAAAGACCCTTATATATTTTTTTCTTTCTTTACTTTTGTCTCTTTTCCTCAACCTGCCCTTCTGTAACAGAAACTGAATATAATATCCCTCTCAAATACAAGGCAGATACTCATAGTTATTAAAGCTAAAAACAAAATTGCAATAATACAGAAGATTATTTTTACAACTATGCCGAGTGGCAATAATTAGCTTTATTCCCAGACTCTGCTAGCCAGAAATATAGTAGGAATGTGATTTTATATAAATATATGTATATATTTTTTCTTTTCTTCTTTTTTTGCTATTGTAGACAAAAGTGCCCTCCATGGATACTAGTCAGCAGTTTTACTTCCTTCCTTATAGAAGGCTGAATACCCATGAAGCCCTGAAACAAAGAATTCTCTTTTGGGAATGGGTTTTGTTTGAATATGACTTTCTCTCTTTCACCTAAATGCAAACACCACTGAACTTATTAATAAGAAGGAGATTTCAAAGTTAATGAAAGTGACATTTATGAGAAAAGCATAAACTAAAATGAGGGGATAAAGAACACAGAGAGAGATTCACTGGATTGTCTTTAGCTGCAATGGAAGGTGGAGCCAAAGCTTTAAAATTCTGCACACATGTGTCCTGTTGAACAGGATCCTTTTTACCTGGCTGCCGTGAGATCCAGAAGATGCTGCCACCGGTCGTTGACCTTCCCGAGCTTGTACTCAATCTCAGAGGCTTTGCTTTCATGGCTGGCTCGAGCAAGTCGTTCTCCCATTTGCTGGAGCTGTATTTTGTTCTCTTGGGCAACAGCAATTTCCTCTTGATAATCCTGCATAATAAATAGCAATCACAGAGATCAGAAATCATATTTTTAATGCATTCAGCCTGGCTCCACTAGAAACATGATAATTGCCATTTTCTATTGCTTGGAATAGTTTGGGCATGAGGAGTGCTGTGTGCTTATCAGTCCATGTACACAAGAATTAGGGGTACCTACTATTTTCAGGATGTGCACAGACTCTAGATTGAATTTTCATGAAGATTTTCTTAAAGAGAACAGAGATGTTTTTATTTACTTAAAATGGGCATTAAAAAATTATTAACAGTGTATACATAGATATAAAGACAAAACTTGAAGGATTTTAATGCTGGGAAATTATACCTTATTGTTATAATCACCAACCTGGGTGTTATATTTAGAATCAATCCTCATACAAATAGTTGCTAAGAGGCTTAGAAGTTGTGTGTATGTGTGTGTGTGCGTGTGCACAATTATATATGGCAACTGACATATATGTGTATTTATATGTAAATGTATATAGGTGTTTCTGTCAATTATTTGTGCAGAATGAATTTAAAAATGAATACCTTCATTTTAATGAGCTACCCTCTATACAATGTCAATATTTTACAACACATAAATTAATGGCAAATTAACTCGCAAGAATAATAACCATTAGTCTTAGGGGATTAATGTGTCTCAAATGTTTTTCATTTACCCAGTTTCAGTACTCACTCCTCTTAAAGATTGTTTTGGATAAGGAAGTACGGGCTCCCTAGGCATGAGAAAGGCCACTGAATGGCATGGTTTAAGTGGATGAATGGACATTTCCTACCTTCCCCAACCCTCACCGCCTGACCAATGATCCTCTCACTCCTGCCACAGTGACAAAAGCCAATCTTTAGAATCGCCTTTTCTTCATTTTTGGGCTAAACTCCTGTCATGCAGCAAATATTATCTCAACAAAATAATACACAAAGACAGGTTAGAGGGTCATGGATATTTTAACCCTCTCCCGCTCTAAAGTTAGTGTGGCAACAGGGCTATCCTCTCAGGTCAGTGATCAAAGCAAGAAGGCCCCTAAAAAATGAGAGAAGCCAGTGCAGGTCTCTTCGATCTCAGTGCTGAGTGCTCTCTTTAGGTCCAGCAACCCCACTCCATCTACTCTCCATTTTATGCTACTTCAGCACAGTGGGATTCAATGACCAATATACCAGATGCACTGACCCCAAAGAGGCAAGCTCATAAAGACTTCTTTTGAAATCTCATAACTCATTTTATATACAGAATAGTATAGCTAATATTTTAAAGATTGTCTGACATTGTGCCAAACTAAAGTTTTTCTAAATTTTAAATTGTGATTGTATTTTGTCCAAGAGACAGCTTTTTCCACACCCCCCAAAATATGCATCTTAAATTTCATGAAGAAAATCAATGATTTCTTAACCAAAACTTATTCTATAGCAAGCTTCACTATAATACCTATAGCCCCTTAATCATGTCCAGTAGAGCATTCTCTGATATCTAGAAACTATCAAAGTGCAAAGCTATTGGCAGATGTGAGAATGAAATCTGTATTATCTTAGTTCACATTTTAAAGGTTTACAATATCAAATATACAAATGCTTATTGCTAGAATTTGACATTTTAAGTGGAAGCCTTAAAGCTATTACTATCGCATGCTTACACTGGAGTTTTTTCTCTTTATGTGCATGCATGGAGAAAGAGTTTTTCCTAATAATTATTTGTATTTATTTTAGAATGAATGAGGCTATAATTCATTTATTCAGTATTTGGTAATGACTGAGTACTTATGAGAAGACAGGCATTGCTCTGGGTGCAGGAGATACAGCAAGGAACAAAATAGGCAAAGACACTTCGGGCAAAGCTGACAATTCAGTGGGGCTCCCACTGTAGACAGATAACAAACAAGTAAATAGGGAAAGTATGCTGTGAACCAGACAGTGATGTGTGTTAACAAGAAACATAAACTAAAATAAAATCAAAATGATTGTTTGAAAACCATGTGGAAGCACCACTGATACCATCAAAAATATTTTTATTTCATTTTATTTTTAAATTTTTTTTCATATTTAAGTTTTTAAAATTTTTTTTATATTTATGTTAATCACCATACATTACATCATTGGTTTTTGTAAAGATTTTATTTATTTATCTGTCAGAGAAAAAGAGAGAGAGAGAGAACCCAAGCAAGGGGAGTGGCAGGCAGAGGGAAAAGCAGGTTCCCTGCTGAGCAAGGAGCCTGATGCCTGATGCCGAACTCCATCCAACCACCCCAGGACCATGACCTGAGCCGAAGGCAGACACTTAACCAACTGAGCCACCTGGTGGCTCAGTTTTCATTCTTGTAACTGTCGATGCATTCTGTTTTACAGAGATAATGTCAGTTTAATTAATCCTAAGAATTTTTTCTTTTAGTCCCTCTCTAGTGATTTTACCTCTTTAAAAACAAAAACAAAAAAAAACACAAAAGAAAACTAATACACATAAATGATTCCTTCTGAACAGGTAGCTAAAACCAAAAAATATTGAACATTTATCTATCAGCAGGTAATTTACTTCAGCATATCCATATATATTGTATGTAAAGAAGGCCTTTCCATACAAGTTTATTTCATATTAAAAAGATAAAACGTTTAAGATATAGTGCTCCTTTTACAGGAAAGTAATTTAATAATAAGTAAAACCATCTTTTATACCTGTTAAAAGTATGCCTAAGTGTTATGAAGAGTAAAAACATGTACATATACAGCCATGCACCCTGTACCTTCTTGAGCTTCTCTATCATTTCTTCAATGAGGATGTCTCCATTTTGAGAAACTTTGCTTTCCATCTGGGTCAACCATTCACAAAGCTCCTTGTTCTTTTCATTGAAGACTGCCCATTCATTCAATCTCTCACTTACTTGCTGCCGCCTTAAGGAGAGCTGAGCAGTTTAAATGGGAGAACACATAAAAGGATAATCAGAGCAGAACTTGCACCCTGAGGAAAAAAGCCAATAAACTGAGTTGGGTGGACTGGAATAAGCAATAGTTGTGCAACTCTTTAGGTCACTGTTCCTTGAGGTACAGTCCCAGGAGGGATCTAGGAAGGTTTCACAACAAGGACCTGCTATGAAATGTCAGTGGGAGGCATCCAACCCTCTACTTCCCTCCTGAAGAGCTGCATGCACATTCATTTATTCAAGGTTCTGAACAATCCAGCCTCACGCTGCAATTGGTTCTGTGTAGATTTCTACAGCATCATTGGATGTGCTTTTCCTAAAAGGGAAGAAGGGAGAAATAGGAAAGAGGAAGGGATAGAGAAAGAAGGAAGGAAAGAAGGAAAAAGGGAAAAAGGAAAGAAAGAAAAATAAGGAAGAAAAGTGAAAAGGGAGAATGAACTGAATCACAGGTGTCTGCAGAGAGTGAAGCAGAGGGACACAATGCTAAGAGGTCAAAAGACGGATCGCTATGACTCAGCTCTATACCGATTCTTTTACTTTGGGCGAGTCCTCTTACTTGCCTGCCTGCTTTCTTTTTAATTTATTTACCTTTGTGTCTTTTTCGTTTCCTTCTTCCTTGTGCATCATGGCTTTATTGAGACATAATTCACATACCATACAATTTTGCTTAGCATAAAGTTTTCAAAGTTATTTATGTTGTAGCATGTGTCTATACTTAATTCCTTTTAACTGTTGAATATATTCTATCATAGGGATAGACAATTTTTATTTACCAACTCATCTGTGGATGGATGTTTTGGTTGTTTCCACATGTGGCTATTATGAATAATGCTGCTATTGTGTGTGGAGACACACGTTTAGTTGCCTTTGGGGTATATACCTACGAGTAGAATTGCCGGGTTACATGGTGGTACTACAGAGCATCTGTCAAAGTGCCTGCACCAATATACATTCCCACCAGCAGCAGGGTTCTCCTTTCTCCACATCCTCACCAACATTTGCTAGTATCTGTATTTTTGATTTTGGTCATCCTAGTGGATGTGAAGTAGTATCTCACTGTGGTTTCGATTCGCATTTCTCTGATGGCTAATACGCTGAGAATCTTTTCAGGTTTTTTGGCCAGTTTCTTTGGGGAACTATCTGGTCAAATCCTTTGCCCATTTTTGACTTGGGTGTTTTTTTTTTTTTTTTTTTTTTTTTTTTTTAGCACTGAGTTGTAATAGTTCTTTATGCATTAGAGACACAAGGGGCCTGGTTCTTATCTCTAAGTCTAGAATGATCCCTTCCAGTATTTTCAAATTGTATGACTTCATAATACTCTTGTTTTTGCAGTGCTGGTTGAGATACTAAGGGATATTTTTAACTGAGCTAAGCTACATGTTAGCAAAATATAATGTGATTTGAGTGGCAAGAAGATGATCCTTTTTTACAGATGTTCTACACACTCCTGTTGATAATGCTAGACATTCCACCAGTCATCTCATCGCATTAAGCACCTACTTCTCAATTTTCTTTTTTCCCACTAACACTTTATCATGAAAAACATTAGACATACAAAAAATTGAAAGAATTGTAATGGTAAGCACCCATAATATACTCACTAGACTCTAAAATTGTGAACATTTTGCTCCATTTTGCTTTAATACATATATTCCTTTATCCATCAATCCATTTTACTTTGTGAATCACTTCAAACCAATTTCCTTTTAAAAATCAAAATGAAAATATTTCTAAGGTACTATACACTTCCTAGTTAGCAATTCTGCCTAGGGTTGGCTCTGTTAATGATTGGGTAAATATTAGTCAAGGTCCCACACAACCCAAAATGTCTATGATTCTACATCTAAGAAAACACCTGGTAATTAGGCTTTGAGACCAGGTTCCCTATGCTGGGGCTAGCCCTAGTCATGCTGAGCTGCTTAGATAGTGGGCCCCATAATCTAACACAGTTTCTGAAATGTCACTATTACAAATGCATTCTTTTGAATTAATTATGATCTTTTAAAATAAAAATTTCTCTGGGTAGGGTGACACTGATGAAATCCATTAAGTATTTCCCCATTAGTACAAGTCAGCTTATCATTAAGTTTTCTTTGAGGCAGAAAAATACAGAACAGCCCAAAAGCAGTGAATTTACTCGGGGTCGATACTGGTAGGAATGGAAAAGGCTAAGAAAACACCGGTTAAAAAGTTTTAGAGACGAAGTTCAACTAAAATAAGCTATACCAAGACCGTGCTGCAGCTAAGAGCATGATCCTTCCAGCACCCCCTTTCCTCTCGAACTCTGATAGCAGAGTGTATTCTGATCTTCTGCAGAATGCTAAGATTTGGAATTTTCTGGTGGATATGACCTTTTCCCTCTCATTCACACAGCATCCAAGTCAAGAGTGTGGCTGGTCATTACAATTCTGGTTCAATTCATGTCCAAACTGAAACCATATTTTCATAATTGGGACCTCTCAAAGCAACTGTTTTTTAAGACAAGAGTAAAAGCCCCCACCCTTCAGATTTAAGATTAATAGGTCTTGCTATGTATAGCTCCTCCTTTCCTCTTCCCCCAAATCTTGGCCACGAGCAAGGATGAATTCTAGGGCTTTCCCTTACAACATCTGCAGGGAAGATGACCACATAATAGAAAAATACTACCTATTTCTTTGAGAGGTAGGTTTTGTTATACCCATTCCAGAGAGACAAAGAGAAGTTAGACAAATTCGAGGCGTTTGTTTGTAGTCAGTATGAGACAGAACCAGCAAAACAACAGTCTTTGATACAGGCTGCGATATAACATTATGATCAAATATCCAGAGGCAGCTGAGATTCTAAAACAGTCTCTATCACTTACTAATGATATGACCAGGGCAGGGTTACTCATTCTTCTCTATGCCTTACTTCCTTCATTTGTAAATGAATTTTTCATCTGTTCCAAATTTCATCAAGCAAATGTTTATTGTTTGCAGTAAACAAATGTCTACTATGTGCCAAGCACTGACATATGTCCTGGAAGAGTAGGCTCGTAATAGAATACAAACAAGAAACAAATTTAAGGAAGTAACGAGTACATACTAAAGGTTTAACAAAAGCTGGCCATTAATAGACGAGGACGACTACTACTACAGGGCACCATTTGAGTTTTTACTATTTTTTCCCCCTCGACACTCAGGTAGTCAACACCTCCACTGAGTAGCTTGAATATGTGTTTCTGGTGCTTATCACACAGCACCAAAGTGTTGCTTTCATTTGCTCACTGTAAAGCAACAGCTGAAAGAAGAAACAGGTAGACCACAAGCGCTGGTTACAAAGCAGCACCAGAAGCTTCTCGAGAGATATCAATTCATAATGGAGATGGCGTTTTCCTTTTGGTTTGTAAAACGGACATTTAGGCTATATGATAAGCGAACATTACCCTCTCTTTCTTTGGGGTTAGCTGAAACCCTCGAATTATTTATCAGCTTAGCACGTATTTAGGTTTTTCTCAAGGTCACAAACACTCTGCATTGCCAATAGCTGGCAAGTACCGGCTGAAACCTCCAGAGTATGAGGCAGCTGAACAGGAAATACATCCTTTTTGACTTCAAATATTTTTACCATGACAATTTGAAAAACACCAAGCAATTACAAAATGATGATATATTTATATCTCAACTAGAATTACACACAGATCTACAAACCCAAATGGGAATAAAAATGGATAAAAGCTCTGGCAGTGGGCAGACACAACAAACCACTTGGGGAGTCTATTTGTGAATGGTATATACTTTCCTACGTTAACTCTCCTCTGAAACATTTACTTACAGCATGTCTTCTTCATTCTCCTTGGTAGTCCCAATGACTCCTGCCTTCTTATCCACTGATTCGATCCGACTCTGAAGAGACAACTTGCTCTCTAACCGTGGGATAATGCCAGGTTTAACTAAAGGTTTTAGCTTTTAAAATGAGACCATAGGCTCAAGCTCATTTCCTTTTGTGGTTTCATACTTGACAGAGGTACTCCGGAAACACCAGCGCAAGGACTAGTAACTAATTTATATTCCTACTTGCACCTATATCCTAGCACCTTTGGTATGACTACCCCTGACTAAAATCTCACTGGATTCAATAGTTTTTTTAGACTGAAGTAATGTGAGATCAGTATGCTTTAGCTTCATGCCTTAAGACATTCAAGTTAGAAAGTTTCTAGAAACACTCTGTATTCACTGTACTTCCTCTTTTTTTACTTAAGTCTTAGTCCACTCACAGGTGCAAGGTATTAATCTCTTCACAGCATATCATATGATCAACAGCAGCCTTCAAAATATATTTCCAAACAGACTGTTGCCTAGATATATCTAAGTCTGGTGAGCAATTTTAAACATAGACACTTTTGTCCCCTTTTTTCTTTTTCCAGCTTTATTGAGATATAACTGACATATAACATGGTGTAAGTTTAAGGTATACAGTGTGGTGATTTGATAGACATTTCTACTACGAAATGATAACCACAAGATCAGTTAACACATCCATCATATCACATAATTAGTATTTCTATGTATAACATGAGAGCAATTAAGATATTAGCCATAAGATAAGAATGAAATCTTGCCATGTGTAACAACATGGATGGATCTAGAGGGTATAATGCTAAGTGAAATAAGTCAGAGAAAGACAAATACCATATAATTTCATTCATATGTGGAATTTAAGAAACAAAACAAATGAGCAAAGAAAAAGAGATAAGCCAAAAAAAAAAAAAAAGACTCTTAAATATAGAGAACAAACTGGCGGTTGCCAGAGGGGTGGGAGGTGGGGGGAGGGGTGAATTGGTGAAGGGTATTAAGGGTATACTTATATTGATGACCACTGAGTAATGAACTAAATCACTCTACTGTATATCTGAAACTAATATAACACTGTACGTTCATGATATTGGAATTTAAAAAATAAATAAAACTTTAAATAAATTAATTAAAAAAATCAAATACCGACTCTCTTAGTGACTTTCAAATATATAATACAGTCTTGTTAACTATAGTCACCATGCTATATATTAGATCCCCAGAACTAATTCATTTTATAACTAGAAGTTTGTGTCCTTTCTACTTCATGGCATTTTTACACAGTACCAGTTTTCCTAAATCAAAAAATACTGTATAATCATAATCTTCTTAACTTCCAAAGTATTCAAAGACCTTTTCATTGTTTTACATTTAAAGGAACATAAGTATAATGACATAAAACAAATGCCCTAAAGTCTTCGTTGAATTATTAACAGGCACTGGAGAGAAAAAGAAATGATCTTCATTCTCAAGGGCCTCATAGTCTTGAAATATAGTAAAAATATTAAAAAAAAAAAAAGAAGAAGAGAGAAAAAAATGTACTGTCAAATGATGGCACAAGCCAAAAGGGAAATGGATGTTCAAAGGAATAGGAAAATACTGAGGTCTGAGCATCTCAAACAATGGCATCACAGGGGTTGTGGCATTTGAAAAAGATGGGTTAAAATCAGAAGGAATAGTCAGTCTAGGCAGAAGAGTGGTCTGAACAAGGTTTTGGGGTAGGGCAGTTCCTGGCAGGTTTGGGAAGGGAATGGAAGCCATTATCTAAAGTGTTATCTCTCTGAGAGCTTTGAAGACATCAATTAGCCAGAGAAATAGGTATAGTATAATTAATTTCACAGAATATGCTGAAAAGTATTGAGTCAGCAAGTAGAGCTAGATTTTTCTCAATTTTAAGAAAGACAAATGAATAAGGCTCATAAAAGTAACTGAAGATTGATGTGATCATTTTCCATTATTTGTACACACCAAGTTATCTTGCACTTATATGATATGCCATGATAAAGTCCTTGCATTAGAAAATTATATGATAATTTACTGGATAGTTATGTATTGATTTTGGGTTGAATAATTCAGAGAAGAATAAAGTATTGTCATTAGCACTTCATGCTCAACGTGAGTTTCTCATTGTGTTCACTAAGAATATGAAACTCCGTGAAAAATGGCTAAATTAATTTTGAACTCAAATCACTAGCATGTTTATAAAAATCCTCTCTTACACTCCTCCCTTTTAAAAGTATAGATTCATAGAAAACTGTTCACACATTTAGGAAGTGTGCTCCAGAGTTTCCCTTTGGCACATGGTCTGAGAAATATCTTGGTTTTAATCTAAACATAGAGAGAAATTCACCTAACGACAAACTTCTTGTTGATGTCAAATGAATCAGGAGGCTATGAGCCTCTTAAACTCTGTTTAATGTTTCCTGAAGCATGAAAATAAACATCACTAAAGTCAGAGAAAGTGGGGAGGATGGAAGAAAAGAGATCTCTAGGATGGCACAGCTGGCCTGAAACTGGGGAGGCACAAAGAGACCCCTTCTCAGAAGCCCCTTCCTCATTCTTGTAACCACTTGCTTCTCCCCAGCCGGGTCCTCTGTCTACTCCACTCCTGTGCCTTTACTCAAGCTGCAACCTTGTCCAACCCATCCACTTACTGCCTCCACACCAATCTGTCTCTTCAGCTCCCCTTCTCAGAGCTCAGCTCAAGATTTATCCACTGCAACAAGCGTGTCCTTTATTCCCTGCGATGCACACTGCTAGACATTGTTTTAACTTGTTTATACCAGTTGCTTTCTTCATTGTACAGGTTCTTCTGGACTGATTTTAGTCTCAGTTCTGTTGTAAACTCGATGGTAGGAACATCTACTATAGCTTGTGAAATTCACTATTAATGTGACTGATTCATTGAGCAAATATGGACCACAGGCTATTATGTGCCAAGCAGTGCAGTCAGTTTCATCACAGGGCACTATTGACACACTCCCAGCTTCCTGGAGGGGATGGTCTCCAGGCCCTCAGTCAGAACCTGTTCTTCACTTGTGGGCCTTTAATCTATGTTGTTCTTCTTTGCCTTTGATGCCTTCTCATTGCTTTTCTACCAATCTCTTCCTTTCATTCCAAAATCAAAATCCAATCTGGGATCTCAATTTTATAGTATAATGCACAAGGAAGGTACTTAATAAATGAATCACGTATGACTAAAAATGCCAAACCATGAATTACTAGGAAACTACAATGGTAAATCAACAGCCACAACATTTCCAAATACAAAACCATTTCCACAGTATTAGCTAAAAATGCAAATAAAACAAAGGTTTTTCACATGTTTAAAGTAAGAAAAAGACCACCTGTACCTACCAAGACCACATCCATGAACCAAAAAACTGTTTTTCCTCTTACAATATTATGCCAGCCAGTGAAAGGGACAGCAAGAGAATCCAGCTGAGATGCATCTCGAATATAATATTAAGATATAATTGTCTTAATCTGAAATAGTCTCACAAAACCCAGAGTTCTTCCTCCAAGTATACTCTGAGTTATAGGCTAGGTCCAAACATGGGTCAAGCCATTTAACTTTCCAAGTCATCTTCCAGTTTTCCACCTTTCTGAGCTAATGCTCCATGCAGAGTTTGTCTTACCTGGTGGCACAGTTCTTCCCACTGCCTCTGCAGAAGCTCCATGCGTTCGTTCAGGATGGAAATATCATCAGCGCTAATGTAGGCACAGAGGGTGTCCTTCAAGAGTGTCAGCTGAGCCAAGTCATCTTTCCAGCTCCCAGCTGCATTTTCCAGTTCCTAGATTAAAAAAACAAAAATGTGAATACCCCCATGAATATCTATCATCAACAATTTCTGAAGTGTGCTAGGAATCCCCTCTTGATACAATTATCTTTCTACCCATTTATTTGAACATCTCACTTGGTCTACTTTATTTGCTCTGGTGTTGTCTGATCATTTGCCAAGTTCTTCTGATAAAACTCCAGGTTGCAGGGCACCTGGGTGGCTCAGTTAGTTAAGGGTCTGCCTTCGGCTCAGGTCATGATCTCAGGGTCCTGAGATCAAGCCCCACATTGGGCTCCCTTCTCAGCGGGGAGCCTGCTCCTCCCTCTCCCTCTGCCCCTCCCCCAACCCACTGTGCTTGCTCTCTCTTGCATGTGTGCTCTCTCAAACAAATATATTTTAAAATATATTAAAAGGTAAAACAAGCCAGGTTGCTTGATGAATCTTCCTATGATCTATTTACCATTTAACTGATCATTTTGGCTCACCTTATCTTTCTTTTTTTTTTTAAAGATTTTATTTATTTATTTGAGATAGAGAGAGCATGCACAAGCGGGGAGAGAGGCAGAGGGAGAAGCAGGCCCCCCACTAAGCAGGCAGCCAGATGCTGGGCAATCCCAGGACCCTGGGATCATGATCTGAGCCGAAGGCAGACGCTTAACTGACTGAGCCACCCAGACGCCTCTTGGCTCATCTTTTCTAAGTTGAAATTTTATCACTGCCTGATCTTCTTTACTTTTAAATTGATTTCATAAACTGCTAATCCAGCCTTTACTTTTGTCCTGAGTTAATGATCACGTTAATAAAATATTTCAAAAAACCAAACTCCGGGGTGCCTGGGTGGCTCAGTTGGTTAAGTGATTGCCTTCGGCTCAGGTCATGATCCCAGGGTCCTGGGATTGAGTCCCGCATCAGGCTCCCTGCTTGGCGGGAAGCCTGCTTCTCCCTCTCCCACTTCCCCCTGCTTGTGTTCCCTCTCTCGCTGTCTCTCTCTCTCTCTCTCTCTCTCTCTGTCAATTAAATAAAATCTTTAAAAAAACAAAACAAAACAAAACAAAAACCGAACTCCTGGGGTCACGTTCATCCTAAAACACTATGAGTTTACATTCTATGATATAGACTTAATAACGTAATCAGCGAAAAGATCCATTGCTGCTATTATTCAGTTGAAAATAATGGATTGAATTCATTTCCTGTAGGAACACAGATTTCTTCAGGTTACTGAAGAAAATATTATGTACTCTGTCCTTTTGGGAAATGATTTAAGAAAAAAACCCATAAAACAATATTTGATGGGTTGACATTGGTTTTTGCAATGCTTTGAACTGATGACCAGTTTTGCAATTTGTATGAGTCTTGCTTTTTGCCAGCTGTTGATGCTTTTAGATTCCAGCTAATTTTATGTATAAATAGAGTATTTCACATGGCTTTTTCTCCTCTCTTTTTGTCTCTTCACACAGGAGACAAGTTTCCGAAGGCAAAGGCAATTAACGGTACTGTCTGAGGCTAACTTCTCAGGCAATTTAGGCAAACAAGGTTTTAGTCTGAATTTTCCAGGTAATTGCTTTGTTTTGCTGTGAAGGGTGGTTTGGGGAAGAAGAGCAGAGAGCTGGACCAAAATGCATCCTTTTAATCTCCAAACTTAATAGCCGGGTATGTTTGTAACTGTTGTATTTTGGGAGATGAGGTCCCATGGTAACAGCATTTGGCTGAAAGACCAAACCATCCAGGTGGAGTAAATACGCCGTATTTCTGCTTATATTTGTAGACATACTAACCAGTCATACCAGTGTAAATATTTCCCCCTTTTCATGCCCATTTCTAGCCCCTAACTCAAATATCAGATATAATCCATGGTGTAAGGATTATAAAAGAAACACCACCACAAAAACTAACTGTTTCAGACTCACAGGCTCCATTAGATGAGTCCCTACTGTAAAAATACAGCCTCTGGATTCAGGCAGCCTTGATATTTACAAACTCAGAAATGTTATTAAACTTCTAGAAGCCTCAGTTTTCACATCTGTAAAAGGGAAATGATAGACTGTCCTTGTGAGCTTGTGTTTGTGTCAACTGAGATAACGCTGTGTAGTCACTGCAACATAAAAGGCGCCCAATAAATGCCCATTTCTGTTTATCACAGTTTTCTTTAATCACTTGTTAGAAATTTAACATCACAGATTTAAAACAAACTTTTTAATTTTTGCATGCTTCTGAATTTACACCTCAAGATAATATTTTCCTCATTTGCCATCCATGATGTAATGTATATTACCTTTTTATTCTTCCTAAATCTGCCTTTTTTTTTTTAAGATTTTATTTATTTATTTGACAGAGAGAGAGTGCAAGCACAAGCAGTAGGAGTGGGAGAGGGAGAAGCAGACTCCCCACTGAGCAGGGAGCCTGATGTGGGACTTGATCCCAGGACCCTGGGATCATGCCCTGAGCCGAAGGCAGACACAACTGATTGAGCCACCCAGGTGCCCCATAAATCTCTTTCGAGTTTCAAAGTATATCCTTAAATTTTGATACTGAAGAAAACTTCTTAAATCTAGGCTTTTGTGATTTCAAGACTTCTTTAAAAAATTATTTTTTCTTTAATGCTTATGACTTCTTAGCCAGAGTGAAGCAGAGAACTTCTGATTAAAATCCAAATCATTTAAGTATGTGTGAAGTTTCTTTTTAAAAGATTTATTTATTTTAGAGAGAAAGAGCGAGAGAGTGGGGGAGGGGCAGAGGGAGAGAATCTTCAAGCAGACTCTTGGCTGAGCATTGAGCATGGAGCCTGACCTCACAACTTACAAGATCATGACATGAGCAGAAAACCAAGAGTCAGAGGTTTCACCGACTAAGCCACCCAGGCGCCCCAGTATCTGTGAAGTTTTACAGCATTACTCTAGGGCAGTGATTTGCAAATGACTGGGAAACACAGGGTATGTATTATTTGGGGGATAAAAAGCATTTGTAAAGGTAGTTTTGACTAGATCTGCATCTTGCTCAGCAGAGAACTGTTATCCAAATACTTCACTTGACTATATAGGTATGAATGGAACATATCCTACAGCCACTAAATCACACTGGTCTCAGCAAGCTCATAATGCAGGGGGCGGTCTGTATTAGCTCCTGATTTGCTTCCAACTGCAATTTGAGGTGTTGATCATGATCTTTAAGCAGTCAGGGCCCTGAGTACCTGAATGACTGTGTGTCTCCATGCAGTAACTGAGATCAGCTATTTACAGTTCCTGTTTTCCTTACAGAAGAGCGTGGAGGACAGGGTGTTCCCCTAAGGGCCACTGTCTGCAGAATTTCCAGGCTGCCGAGGCTCGCTCTCTTTTCTGTGAACTAGACTATTCTGCTAGAACAACTCTTCAGTGTAGATGCTTTAAAAAGATTGTGTTTATTGCTTTTGACCCAGCTTTTAAATATCTTTTAATGCTGTGTTTATATTTCTCAAGATAATCCATAAACTAGTCTATAATTTCATCAACTGCAATAAATCAACAGCCAAGTCTCACCAGAGTTGTCTGCCCTAATGCAAAATCCAGGAACTTGCATCTACATGTTCACAGCTGGAACAGTTTGACTGAATTATGCTTTCAGAGGCAATATGATAGCAGAAGCACAGAGGTAAGTGATGGCTAAAAGCTCAATCCAGTCATTTACCTTGCAACGCATTTGTTCTGCATGCAGCTCTTCGTGGTGATTTGGCAGAGGTTGAGAAAGCTTCTTTTTGAATGTTCGTAGTTTCTCCAGAGAATCAGCTATTCCATTCTCACATTTTTCCCAGTCCTATAATGGGAGAAGAAAGAAATTTCATGGCTTTTTTTTTTGTTTTTGTTTTTTTTTTGTAAGAAACTGGAACAAAAGAAAAACACTCTTCTTAATCCAAGAGAAACAATTAAAGATTCAATGGGGAGTCCACATCCATTTGTAGGCAGCATCAGAAGAGTTGAGTTCTACACTTAGGCTATGTGACCTTAAGCAGGTAATATGATATGCCTGAGTTTTCCCCATGAAAATGGGCATAACACAAACTCTATAATTGTTGGAGGGCTGGAGGAAGCAATGGTGTGAACACATCAAATACCAGGCCCAGAATATTATGGGTACTCAAAAATGTTATCTGCATCTGGATCAATCTGCAGAAGTAAGAGGTAATTGCACTATTTTGCCTCTTTCCTAACTCCACCCATAATGTGTCTACATGACCTCAAACGCTCTATAAGAGATAAAAAAGAGGATATGGAATCTCTTTCAGGATGAAGTGTAAAAATAATATAACCCTGACTCTGATTAAATTCATTATATGAACAGTATGTGGTACATACATTTGATTTGTTACAGAAGTAGAACCACAAGTACCAAAGGTTGGCACTGGGTGGGCTTCATCTTGAAAGTGCTGAAACGTGTATCACAAAGGGTTGAGTATATAACACATAAAAGCTGAAACAATCAATAAATGGAAGCAGAGAGATGAGGCAAAATTTTAAAAATATACATCCAGTATGTCAAATACTAATGAGTACTCTGGAGAAGAATATAGCGAGTTAAGTGGTAGAGAGTGTGGTGGTGGAGACCAGTAGATCTCTACAGAGTGACAGAGAAAACATACATTATGTGGTTGTTTTGGACGATTATACACCAAACTCGTAGCAGTGGTTACCCCTGGGGAAGATTACAGGATTTGGTGGTGGTATAGGGGAAACTTCATTTTTCACTCTACATACTTTAATTATTACCTGAATTTTTTTTTATCAGACACATGCATTTTTTTAATTAAAAAAATGATAGGATCCATAATGGAGAGTTGATTCTTTATAGCATTAGAGCTACAAATTAATTCCTGTCTAGTGTCTCAGAGACAATTCAAATTAAATTCATCTAAACAAATCTCCTTAATTTTGCCTATGACCTCCCATTCCTGTCCACGCCCCACCTTCCTGATGACCCTTCTCAGTGGCCACTCTCCACAACTTAAATTACTGGGTTCCAAAGAAAGACAACTAGAATTGCTTTTAGTAATAAGCCTAATGCCAAATCATGCCGCCTTTTCCTTCACATTATCTCTTCCATTGTCACCAGTTTTTTCTTGTCTGGGCTCTTTCTGTGTTCTTTCCTGATGCTTTATTTTTAGCACAGCAACCCATAGGTGCTATGACCAAAACTGTCTTCTGTTAGAAGTGCTGACTAAAGTGCCTCCCTACTCAAAAGGTCTTTTGGTTTCTAACTGAACTGAGAATTTGGCCCAAGATTGTCATTTCTCTTTTAAATTCCTTCAGGGAGCTTCCTAGAGTGCATAACCACATTCCCTCTTTCCATTTACCAGAAAAAAACACAAACTGTCTGTCTTGGTCAGATTTGTACCCATTCCCCTTTGTTAAAGTATCTCTGTGTTCCCAGGCTACAAGTAGTTCATCAGTGCTAAGCAAAGTGAGATCCTCTTACTAAATTGAACAGCATTCTCAATGAAATCATCACACACTCTGAAACCTATCAACATGCCATCAGTGAATGTTCATTGATCTAAAAGAGAAAAGGCCAGTTTCTTATTTTCCATAACAAAATTAAGAGGCTATAGTGAAGCAGGTGAACATGAAGGCCACAGAATTAGAATCACTGTATTTTGGCATATTTACTCAGAGCATTAAATCAAGGGCTAAAATTAGATAAGCCTTATAGCAGTGATGTGAAGGTACATTAAAATAAAGAAAAATGACATTAACATTAGAATTTACCTTCATGAATTCCTTCTTAGGCAAATGGGTCCTAGTGTATGATTTAAAATAAAATAAACTTTAACAAGAGAAGAATAAGGATTTCCCTTTCCAAGGATGGCTTAGATTCCAAAGCTATAACCCAGTCTTTTTATTACATGAGTTACAAGGAAATAACAAAATGTCATGGTCTGCAAACATCTATCAAAGTGGATGTTTTACACACCAACAAACAGACTGGCAAGAAAAGCAAATGCAGTGATTCAGCCATTTCGCCTAATTAAAGTCTTGGGAATGTGTCCAAAAATCACATCACAAATAAAGAAAAGTATATGATTAAAATGATCTCTACAGAACGAGTTACAACATTTTTAATCCTTTCCTGAAAGCAAAAAAAGAAGAAAAAAAGAATCAGACATATTGTATTACTGATGAATTGTGCTGTGTGCAAATAATAGTTCTTTAACAAATGTTCAGTGGCACTTTTGATTGATTGTTTCCCACACAGAAGGTAATATATTATTAAATAAAATTCAACAGAATAAACCCAACGGGTGTGCATACTTAAAGCATTATAAAAGCAATATGTGTTCCATTACCTTTAGTTACTACCTGTGATCCAAAAACGTGGCAGGCCAAGTTTAATAGATAACTTTGTTGAAGTGTTGGTGATTATCAACATATATAAAACTTTCCTATTTAGTTCTGTTCACTCTTCAATATGAAAATAATATCAACAGTGATAATGACCATCATTTATTGCATGCTCAATGTGTGCCACATGTTTACTTTCATTATTTCATTAAATCCTCACAATGCTGTCTGAAGGAGGGGTAATCATGCCTACTCTAGAGAGGAGGAAACTGAGCTTCAGACAGGTTGAGTTAACCAGGTTAACTTGGTTTATTATGGTTTTAACTTGGATATGTCTGGCTCCAGAAACCATGCCCTTTACCCAATGCCTTCCAATTATGTATTGCGTCTGGTTACGGAAAGTGAGGGAGAAAGCATCTTGTGGGGGGTCTGGATAAATCTACCTCTCCCTAAACTTGCCGTGTGATCAGTATGCTCTCTGTATCCAACGAAAGGCTTAATATACCTCCTGAATTTTATCTCATAGCAATGTGCTTGGATAAACTAAGATGAAATCAAGAGTGTTCTCTTGGATAGGTTTTTCCTGCTGTAAAATAAGAGATATCAATCTTAAAAACCACTTTAGAGTCTTAGATCAGGGAGTGGAATCTACTCTTTGCATTCCTGTTTGGATTTATAAAATCATCACATGGCTCTTGGCTCAGCACCGACCATTAATCAGAATTCGTGGCTTGGACAGTCTTATTAGACTTAAAACTACTCAGCTGGGGGATTTTTCTGAAAGACAAACTGCTGAAAATTGGGAAACTTCTCCAGGTCATGCAAGACAGGACAAAGTCTTAAATGAGACACAGGGCAGGGGATCAAAATACTGCAGGGTATGACTTAACGATCTTTGCTTTGTCTGGAAAGCTAACAACGGGAGGGCGCAGCAGGACCACTTACGTGGCTTCTGAAACTGCATTACATCTACAGGAGCAAAGAGCTGAACTTACTTTCAGCAAGAAGGCCAGCTTTTTCTTCTGCTCCTCCAGACGCACGCTGGCTGATTTCCACTTGTCCTGGATTTCCGTGAGCTCGGCCTGCAAGGCGGCCTCAGCCCCACTGTCGGCCGAGAGCAGGAGCTGTTTGCCTGCCTCCACTGTGAGGATGTAACTGCCTTGTTGTCGCAGGCACACTTTTTCTTTGAACTGAAAGGAACCGTAGCTTTTTACTTTCTCATTCTTTTCTTCACCAGGTCCCTATTGCAAGTGTGTTTAAGTGACCCTACAGTCTTTCATACATTTCATGCCCTCTTTATCCAACATTTATGGAGCTAGTACTTGGGCGTGAATGAAGCACTGTAAAAATGAATGAGAGTTCAACAGGGGGAGGCTTAATTTCTGTCCCCAAGTTAAATACAATCACAGTGCGATACGGAAACTGCTCGAGGAGAATCTCAGGAGAGTCCCTGAACTGCACAGGGAACACACTGTTACATGTTTCATTTGTCTTAAGTTTTATTAGGATCTTTTAATTTCTTCCACAAAAATAGATTTGTGATGCTCGGTTCATACAAATAACCCACTTCCAAGAAAGACCCGTGCTCAGATATCTAACCCACATGGATGCAAGACAGGCTTCCTCAAAGGGAAAAAGCTTCATGAGTCTTGGAAGACATATGAATACAGCCAGATTAAGAAGGACCTAGTATGACGAAGGCCAGGAATCAGGGAGAAGAATCCTTCCACGCAGACAAATGAAGATGGGCAAATTTACTCTACGAGATCAGTAGGATGAATTCAGGACCCTGGTGTAGTTTTTAGGGACTGGAATACAGCAGAGGCAGGTGAAAAAGTGGCAGAAGATGATACCAGATCACACCTTGCACAGGAATTTTTTTAATAGTGAAAGTGACTGAGATTCATAGGAGAATATTAAGCAGGGAAGTGATGTGTTTAAATTAAAACACTCTGCAGTAGGGTAGAAGATGGAATGGAAAAGGGCATATGTTGGATACACTGAAATAGGTTAGAAAGCTGTTGTCTCTGTAGGTAAGAAATCAAGAGCTCCTCATCTAAGGTAGTGGCAGTGGGGATGGAAACTGGGAGTGTATTAGGAATGGGGAAGCAGAGAATGAGAATATAGCTCTAGAATTACTCTAAAACTCCTGACAGACCAGATAGCTGGTAATGACATTTCCTTGAATAGGGGACATGGGACAAGGGACTGCCAGAGAATGGCTCATCCAGATATCACCGGCTCCTTGGGAACCCATGGAGTATATTATGTCTATGATGCATATATATATATATGCATCATAGACATAAT